AGGTGGAGATACGTTAAGAGATTTGAGAATACCTAAGAGAACATCAAAGTCAACTGAGTTAAAAGCGCTGCTGAAATCGAGTAGGATCAGAACTGTCAGCTGTTTGCGGTCTATAGCTTGGCGAATATCATCAGACACCTTGAGGAGCGCCGTAACCGTACTGTGACCAGGACGGAAACCAGACTGAAAGTGACTCAGCAGACCATTGCAGTTTAAAAAGGAGGATAGCTGTCGCTGTACAATGCTCTCTAGGACCTTGGACAAGATAGGTAAAATAGAAATGGGGCGATATTGTGAAAAGGATGAGGGATTGGAAGTTTTATATGTATAATATGTGTTTATTTACAAAAGAAAAGTATATTAAGGTATGTTTATCAATTACCTAGTACCCATTGTACACACGTTGCTTAGTTTGGGACTAGAGAACGTAGTGTAAACTTTTTGTTCGATGAAAAAATCATTTTTCTTTAAAACAATGACCTTACCTTAGGATAACTTTATCCTGTGTTGTAAAGACGTTTTTACAAACATAAATGTAATTTCATTTGGCCAAACACCCAGATGCGAACCAATTATTTGTGTGTCACACAAATAGTTGTCCCGTGTGGGAATCGAACCCACGACCCCGATCTACAAGCCAATACCTTGCTAAATGCGACACGGAGTCCTCAAAATGTGTACTCAAAAAAAAATTATAAAACTAGATTATTATTTGTTATAGTATCGACGTCATTCCATTTCAGAGTTTATCGTTTTTGCCGCTTGACTTTTCGTTCGAAACGTACACAAACATTTATGTAAGAACTTTTTTAATAACGTGCTTCATTAATTTAATTGTTGATGTTTTATAAAAGGATATAAGAAAAACTATAATCATTTTTTTTCCGCAGTCTTTCTGCAGTAACTTTAATATTCTGTTCAATTTAATTCCAGTATGGGCAAAATGGCTTATACATAATTCGACAGTGTTGCTATCCCCGCTAAAAGGTCACAACGGGATATCATTTGCGGGTTTGTACAAATCTTTTCTTGTAAGTACATTTCTTTTTGTATACACTGTGTATATAAATTATTAAATAAATAAATTGTTGAACACGCGTAATCTTAAACTATGAAAAGTGAAATGAATTTAAAGCCTTTCGACGTCTGTTCATTAAAATCCAATAACCTCTGTACAGAGGCCTTTGCCCAGCTGTGGGACATATATAGGCTGTCACTTTACTTTATTTATAACAATCCCCACCAAAGTGATAAAGTATCGATTCCCGAAATCAAAAAAATAATGCAATGTACAACATTAATTTAAAATTACAACGCAAACGAGGAAGCCATTCAGAAAGGATTTTTTGTCAAGATTTTGTATTTTTAGGAGGTTTATTGATCGCAACAACATACGTTTCCTTATTTTAGCATATTCGTATTAAACTTATCGGTGTATTTTACATTGTACACGTTCCTATAAACTTGGTAAGTACACTGAAAATTGTACGCGAAATCTCTCATCGCAAATAAAAGTCCCAGCCAATTAATCAACGCTCGGCTCATAAGATGCAGTGCACCGTCCGCGTCGATAGGAAACAAAAATAGGTAGAGAAGAAGAATAGCTGGAAAAGAAGATTGAAACATAATGTAAAAACTAAAATGTACCTAAATATACATTTTTGTATAAAAAATACAGTGCACATGTTATCACATCGTAAAACGTAAAGTATGTATAAACTGCCCAGTGGCGGACTGAGGCCTCAGAGGCCCGGGGCGGTAAAGCTGAATGAGGATCCTAGTTTAAGGAATTGATCTAATTAAACAAGCTTTTTATTCACTTTATATTTATATTTATGTTTGTTTAATTAAAATCTTGGAAGTGTAATTTTAATTGGACTTAAATAGATTACACAGAATATAGAGGTGGATGAGGAAAATAAAATACGATCTGCAGAAAACTACATAGTAAAAATAAAGTTTTTATTTCCAGTAAGTTTCTGTAACTAAAACTATATAGACATTATAAAGCTTAGCAGCAGTGGCATAGATTGCCATAGACGGGCCCTCAAATCTAAATCGTATCGGCCCAAATGAAGAGTAAAGATTTTTCACCAAAGAAACAAAAACCTGGAATTAATATACACTTTTCTCTCCTTTTTTTTTTGGAAAATTTACTTATTAAATCATCCACAGCGAAGACGTTTCCACTTTTTCTAGATTTTCTGCCGCTATATAAAAAAGATCTGATATCCGACGGATATTATCTTTTATATGTATTAATTACTTTTTCGTAATTAAGATCAGTATTAATTACGAAAAACAATACGAATTTTCATCCGTTGCAGTTGTAACCAGAAGGGTTTAAAAACAAAAACCATACTGTTATTACCCCAGGAAAACGATGCAAGGCTTTTGAATATTATCTGAAATAATTTCATAAGTTCCATAATAGAATGATATTACACCTTTTTGGGGTTTAAACATGTTCTCTAAGCAATTGTTCAAACAGATCAACTGACATGTCGTGACCAAAGAGAATGTAATCACTACGTTGGCCGTGACTGTTTCATAAGACAGTTATGGTTTTCTACAACTTTTTTATTATTTCGTGAAAAGAATACTTAGTAAAATATCAACTTTCTATAAGTCTATTACTGTGGAGAATAGTGAAGAATATAATAGTGAAGAAAAAATTTTCTGCGTTTTTTTTTTTGTGAAAATTAATTTAGTTGCTACAAAAATTTCATTATTAATGAACAATTTTTCCTTAACTAATGTTCGTTTCTCGAACATCTGTGAGGATAAACTTTTTTAAGGCTAAGAAGTGCGTAATTTTATATTTTTCTGATGAATCGTTACTCAATTTTGACCAGCCTTTTAATATTATTGCTAAAAAAAGTATACATTTTTTCCAAATTATCCATTGTGATATTTCTACTGTGGTAGGGCCACGCAGCAGCCTTGGCTGTTGCACGAATGCGCAGGCTTGTCCGTGAAAGTACCACGACCTCACAGGAAACCGGCGTAAAGTGGAAGTATAATAAATACTTTCGCGTTTCTTCTGGTGAGTGAGAGAGCCGTAGCCCAATTTTCAAAAGGTTGTCAACGCATCTGCACGGGTGAAGCAGATGTCCATGGGCGGCGGTATTCACTTAAAATCAGGTGAACCGCCTTCTCGCTTGGCAACTTTTCACATAAAAAAAATACATACAGTTTCGACAGGTCCGTACTGTATCCGAAATAGTCGTCAGAAATTGCTTTTTAATTTATAAAATAATATTTTTCTCTAACTGCGCTAACAAACCAAATTAACAATTTCATTTTGAATCGTGTGGCTAAAATAAATTTGACCTTTCCGCTTTAAAAGAAGTTCTTTTTAAATAGGTCCTTAATAATAAACCTGAAACGGACATGTAATTTCCACGAATTTAATGATAAAGTAATTTTAACATTACGTCTCGCCCCAAAAGATTTGATTTCATGCAGTTGATTTCGTGCAATTACTGCGCAAACGTGGTAAAAACTCGTGTGTGACTTTATTGTTCATGTAGGAAAAGGTAATGGAGATGTTGTATAAGTTATCATTTGTTTCCCGGGATGTACGACTTAATAATTTAAGAGATTGTGGAATTTTTGCTTTCATCCGTTCGGGGTCTATGAAAAAGGCCTTGGGACCCCGAATCATTGATACAGGGAGGTTTTGCTTTCATCCGTTCGGGGCCTTCAGAGGCCTTGGGCTCGGGGGCCCCATACCATTAACACGGGGAATATTTGCTTTCATCCGTTCGGGGTCTTAAGAGGCCTTGGGCTCGGGGGCCCCGTATCATTGATACGGGGAGGTTTTGCTTTCATCCGTTCGGGGCCTTCAGAGGCCTCGGGCTCGAGGGCCTCCAGCTGACACAGCGTTAGCTACGCCCCGATTAGCAGTAGTAGTAATTTTATTTATAAAATGTAAATAACCAGTTTCGGCTGTATTTTATCTGAAATGATTGTAATTTTATTTATACGTATTTTATCTGAAAGAAAAATATTAGTATGGGACCTCCAAACTCCAACCTCTTAGATAGGTATAAAGCATATTTTTAATGCCTTGTTTAGCATTTGTTCAATGGAAAATGAAGGTGTTCGCGGGCGCCCCAAGACCGGGGGCCCGGGGTGGACCGCCCCTTCCGCCCCCCGGTTAGTCCGCCACTAAAACAGCCGAGCCAATTTTTTTAATGTTAGAAGGTGGCAAGCGAGATGATGGTTCACCTGGTATTAAGTGATAATCGTGCTCATCTCCAAATGTCCATCTTTTGTATCACCCGTGGGGCTGGAGAACCCAAAACCCAAAAACTCTCTGATGGGATTTGCCTGGGCGATTTGTGTATGATCGTCTTAGACGAAAAGGCGACTATTATCTTTAACGTCGCCTTCATCTCGTTGATAAGAAAGTTTGTGTTCCTTTCGCACGATAAGAAAGGTAGAAAGTGTAACAGTGCGACAAATCAATGTATAATGCATGTATTAGCTGTTAGGCGCTAGGTACCAAATAGATTCTTAGGACCTATCGTGTTATTAGTGTATAGGACTGGATTGGTTCTTTACAATTAATTGCATCATAATGCAGAATATGCCATATCGTAGTATGCCAACGCTACGCACACCGCATTTTCAAATTCTATTCTGTTATATCCTTTATATTTGTTTATCATTACCGTGACCTTTTTCTACATTGTAAGTATGCTTTGAAATTATCGGGCCATAATCTAGAAAAGACGAGGATTGTTGATATTTTCCTGATGATTGACATACGGACGGCTATAAAAATGAAAAACGTTTGTGTCCTACAAATATATAATGAGGGAAACCAAAAAGGTCTCCGAATCTAAAACTAAAAACGTTGTCCGTTAAGGATGTGAGACGACTGCCGTCATCCCCTGTGCCAAAAATATGACAAAGTTGTGTTTAGTGAAAGGTTCCCCCGAATCGTAGTATAAAAGTGCAGTGCACGCGCGCCGCGCCTCCGACTTGACAACATGACGTTGGCGGCGCGTTTGGTACGTTCAAAAACTTCTATTAAACTAAACAATTTTTTTAAAAAGATTGATTTAAATTTTTATTGCCTTTTTAGTGTATTTTTAGTTTCTGCACTTAAGATAAAAAAAAACATAATTTAAAACGTGTTCTTTTACACAACTAACAATAAAAAAATATTAAAGAAACAATTTGATGGAAAAATAATATTTTTGCAAATAACAATTTTGGAGTACGCGGATTTATAATGTTTTTCAAAAAAATGTGAGTAAAAAACCTTTTTTTTTGGTTCCATTTTTAAACCTGAATTTATATATTGATTTAAGAAATTATTTTACTCACCATTGTGATTGTTTCTTTTTTTTTTACTGTTGTGTCACTTTCTGTGTACTAGAACTCTATTTTATAAATTATAAGTGTATTATTAAATTAAATTAGGTAATTGCTCTGTGACATCCAAATAATGATGTATTTTAGGCTTGTGTCATGTGTCGTGCTAATTAATGGATTATTAGCCTAGTTTAGCATTTCATAATTAAGTTACGCCGACCTTTTGTTGGCGCGACGTTGAGTGATTTTCCCGCAATACGTCGAGCTCGAGTGCACTTTCTACTAGTTGAAATTTTGCGTGTGATAATGCCCTAATAAGTGACGTCACGTTGGATTGGATTCTTTGTTAACGGACAGTGTTAATTAAGTGTTGTGCTTAACGGCCTATAACGTGAGAATAGTGCTATAACGTCTCGAAACTAATAAAACCACAGCTATCATTGCTCGTTAACGGTGTTCGGTCAATATTATTTTTAATTAGACAATGCTTGAACGGAGTTATAAGTGTATGCATATGTGTTTATTTCTTTACGATTGTGCTTTTTGACATTGTCTATACCGCTATAATATATCACATATATACCTCATATTTCATTACCAGAATTTTTGAATTTTTTTACGAATACATTTCAGTACTTACGACATTTTAAATTATTCGATTAAGTAAATAAGTGAAGACAATTCTTTTCAGTCTTCGCGCAACGGAAAGTAATTGTCTTAGGATAATAGATACTTAATGTGCGCTGTTTGGGGTCCAAATTCAATCCTTCGTATAACGTTTTACTTTTATTATGTGTAGTTTTTATATTATTTATACTCAAAATGAGTACTAATTGCAAAGAAATACCGAAATCAGGATAGTTGTAGACCTAGAAGGTTATAAACTACTAGGCCACGCGCTTGTGACATGTATTGGTAGCTATTATTTTTTTTTTTTCACGATGACGTAAGCATTGAACTTTTCGGCCCTGTGTTCTCTTTACTACATTTACAAGTACATTAGGTATTTACTTGCAAATGTCCTGTATTTAAGTAAAACATGTTATTAAGTAATAAATGTTTAAAGAACCATTCGCTTAATAGTCGTAACTCAATTATATTTACACTTTCATGGAACCTTGAGAGCTCTGTAGCGCCGAAGCCTTAAATCAAGAGTAAGAAAGCAGGTTTTGTTCTCACCACTTGTTTGCAGTAAAGAAAAGTACACTGTTTGAAATTAGATTTACGTTTATATGCTATTTGGTATAATATTTATATATAAAATTGTAATATAAACACACGTGAATGTTTACTATTTTATAATTTTATGAGGTGAACAACTGTTTAACATAAATGTCTAGTGCTTTTTATCAGGTGATAGTTACCACGTTTAGAAATGTTTGTTCTTTTACGATAATATTGGGGCAGTAATAGCTCACCCACTGTGTTCCGTCTACGATTAAAGGTTTCGAAATTCAATAAAGCTTAGTGTTTTGTTGCGATTTCAATTATCTCTATCGATTTTAATATTCTACCAAACGCAATTCCTGAAGTTGTAATGTATAATGACCTTAACGGTAACATGTTCTACTTATTCTAGTGATTGATTCTTGAGCGGTTAAGCGTCTAATTTGAACATGAACAATGTCTTAATAAGTAAGGGACTATATCACCCCATTAAAAATCTCATGGGATTTGTTGAAATAAATTGCTAACAACAGTGGCTTAAATATTACGTTAGACACCAAAGCCTGGATTGGCAGTAACAAGATATTTCACCACGATAGCATCGTTACTTAGAATTATAATAACATACATTAAAGGCACTGCTCAAAACTTCGACACCGACATGAAAAATGATCAACAAACGAGATTTCCTACGAAATATAGGACTGTCACACGCCACACCAGAGTTCAGCTAAAGTCGTATCAATACAACAGACTATATGGTTAGTAGATACGAAATTTGCGTGCTGGCGTCCACTTTCAATGTGTAATTTGGATATAGCTTATGGCACGCTTGAGCATGTTCTACCATGACACCGTCTGTTCTGTCTTGTGATGAGGATGGAAATGCTCTTGAATTGTTGAACAAAAACATACAAAACGTTATTCCCACTGTATGTAATACAGTCGTGTCATTATAGAGGTCTTTCCTCAGTATTGGGAGATACATATTCTGTTACTTTACTTTGTTTTACTGATAGTGAGACTATATGATATATCAGATCTTCTCTAACACTAATGGACTAATCCATACATCTACTACATGTGGGCAAGTAACACACTGACTTTGGCCGTTGCATAGCACGACCGGAAAGTGTCCCGGACTTACAATAAAATTATTAGTTCATTTCCGTCTCATTACGTGAGCGTAAAAACCTGGAGCATATCATCTCAAAGGCTGCAACCCCCATTGATTTGATTTGATTTGAGTAAGAAAGCCAGCATCCATAATATACCAGTGCTTTACGGTTGACTATGGGTAACAGTCACATCTTCGAAAAACTACTCTAAAGTGAATTTTTTCGTCCTCGACTCGCACTCTTATATAAAAATGTTTTACGAAGTGACAAAGCCACATGTCGTAACTGAAGATCATCATATAGATATTAAAGAAGTGTCCAATAAAATTATCGTTCATATCCGTTTAATCGTTACGACCTGAAGAGGTTAGCTTATGCGATTTTTAAGCCTATTTAATGAGAATTTCATTAGTTCTACCAATCATAGCACGACGAAGCTATGACTTGAAGATTAAATAAATAAATAAATAAGATTAACCAACAAGCATTTAGTTAACGCTGTATCCAGGTGACGCACGTCACTTAGGTGCGGAAAATTAGGGTATGAGCAGGAACAAAGGCCTGTCATAGCTCGTCAGGTACGCAGCCGGTGGAGCAAAGTGGACGTGACGCGGGGGCGAGGCGGTTTCCAACGGCAACGTGTCGCCAGCTGATATTGCACACCTTCGGCCGTCGGTAAATAACACCGATACGGTGACAAGCATAACGGGAAAAGATCGGACATACGAGGAATGGAAAGGAAACCAGAGAACCTTTGACCGATCAACCTAACTGAATACGTCGAAACTTTATCGAAATGAAGAAAAAAAATCCAAATAAACCGCTATGGCGACAAGGCTATCGGATATCCAAAAAATGGAAAGGAAAACTATAAAGCTATGACTTAACTAAAGGAATACGTCGAAACGTTATAGGAATGAAAAAAAAAATGTCAAAGTGAATACTCCGCTGTTGGTCCGGAAGGTTTGTCTTTCTATGGTCAAAATGGTGGCCAGCCTAACGGAATATGAATGCGAGTTTAATAGTATAAATTGTCGATTTTGGCACCGCCAAGATTCGACCCTACGTGGTCTGGGTAACTTGCTCAGATTCTCAAGCCAACCGACCTCAGCGTCCGAGCGCAAATCTCCACAACTATATACGTTTGTTTTGTACTTTTATCAATGCGTGCGCCATCTAGCGAGCTACTTTACAATACGCCAATACACTGATAATATTTTACAACAAACATATGAAAGAAACAAGTTACCCGCTTATTAAACCTCACCAATAGGCACCCAAGAGGTCAAAAAAATTGGGAGAAAACTAGTAAAAGTCACGAGTAAATATTTCACTATTGATTAATTTCATCACTGATGAATCCAACTTGAAGGTATGCTGAGACGAAGCGGTGATAGACGAATTACGAAGAAGTCTTGAGGGTTGGCTGTCTGCAGATTGGAAACTACAGGAAGCTAGCGGATTGTTCCATTACTTCACTACATATGTATAATGTACAAACAATTTAGACGAGCATCTCAATTGAGAGGAAAGAATGAAGATTTTGATTTTGTTTGACGACCTAATTGGCGTAGTGAATCCGCCTCTTGTGCCAGTGATGTTTCGATCCCCACTATTGGAAAAATATTGTGTGATCGTAGTGTTTTTATAGTGTCTGGGTGCTTATTTATCCATAATATGCGTTTGTTTAGAAAAGAAAAGTACGTTTAATTATTTTTATCGTTTGCCTGTTACCCATAGCGGCAAGCTTTGCTTAGTTTGGGACACGATAGCATTGTGGAAAAATATATCCCGTACTATTTAATTATTTACTTATTTCTAATCTAATAGTGCAAGGGGAACGTGACGCTCACTCAAGTCATAATAGCCCAACGGTTAACATGCATTTATTTATACTTTACGCACGAGTAGTACAAAGGCTGAGCCAGTAGCGACGTTTTACGCAATCCAGATTTCTTTTATTTTTGCAAATAGTATTATATCTATTTATTAATACAGTAAATTGCGTGGACGGAGTAGTGTGAAATTTCCCACAGTTATAGTTTATATAGAGAAGGAGTGCAGGATGCCAACTTTTTTTTTAATTATGCATAAAAAACCCATCAATATAGATAACATTAAACACAATTTTTTTGTGTGTTACACGCCATGTATTTAACAGGCACACGCATACTCTTTTGTTTATTGTATTTTGAGAATATTGTTGAAACTTGCACGAATTTCGAACACTCGGCGTCACACATATTATAGATATAGAAACACCCAGACACTCGAAAAAACACTATGTTCATCACACAATATTGCGGTGGGGATCAAACCCGCACCCTCTAACACACGAGGCAGGTTTCACTACTCTCCACGTCAATCGGAGCGTCGATTTACAAATTAAATTAAATTTTAATTAGTAC